GTTGCTCTTTGATTTTCATCCAGGAGTTTAACCAACTTAATAAATGGAGCTGGTCCTACTCTGGTTCTTAAGTTGACATGAGTGTTTTCATCTATTTCTCCATCATGCTTTTCTGATTCTTCATGCGTTACTGCAGCTGTTTTTCTTTTTCTGCTAGCTGTTGGCTTGTCGTAAGTCAACATTTGCAATGGTTCTTCACCCTGTAATGGTTTATTAGCATCTTCCAGTTTAAAACTGTCATTCTCTGCTCTTGCACTGCTTCTTGTGCTTCTTGTATTCCTAAAATTATACAGAATAACATTCACAAGTCATTATCACTTTAATTTATCATTATGAATTTATATAACACATAGCACGATTTACATAATATTATACACTAGTTACATAATTTATAGCTCAAAGTTACATGTTATGCCCTTGGATGTGATTCAGTTCTATATTTTAAAACTTACCCAAGTCCTCACGAGAGTTGTTATATCTTACACGCGAGCACATGCCAAATCACATACTAAAGCATATAGTTTACATATTTCCTATCATAATTCATAACAAAATATTTACATTGGTTATAAACCATTGAAAAATTATATTTTATTATTACTAATTTAGATAAGTTACATGATATTATACACTAATATCATAAGTTATATCCCAAAGTTACATGTAACTAAGCAATTACAAAAGTTACATATTAATATACTTATGTTACATAAATTCTATTTGTACTTACAACTTACACAAGATGTTCAACAATCAAGTATGGCTCCAATACTTGCAGGGACATAGTAAGGGACAGAGTGTGCATACTTCATAACATAAATATACATAATGCTTACAGAAGTGGAATATGTATTTTGTCCTCTAGCCATGTTATATATTATCATACAGAAGTTACATAAGTACTCAATGAAGTTACACCATGCACAAGCACTTTGAAGAATGATCTCTAGACAACATTTGCATTCAAATAATACCTTATAAAGTTTATATACTTGATAACTTAAGTAAACATCAGGTATTTTGACTTTTTAAACACAACCAGATGCACATTATGAAACAAAAATTACTTTGCTTCTATTTACATGTATATAACACATTTCAGTTCATAATACACATATTTTCATAAGAGAAAATTAATCACATTGATTAATGTCTGAGTCGATGTTATAGTTTATACCTGACATCCGATTTTCCCTTAACCCTAACCATTTTGATTGTACTTGCTGCTGAACTTGTTGCGCAAGTTGTTGCGGTGGAATCCTTTTCTTAACCTCTTGTGTTCTTCGCAGAGATTTGTTTCAAAAATAACTTCGTCTCGTCGAACTTGCTTCAGAAGAAATGCATAGTGAAAGATTTTTCAGAAAGTAAACTTTTGGATTTTTCGAGAGTGGAGAGCATAAGCGTTGGAGGGAAAAGGTGGGAAACAATCCGTTGGTTCATGTGCGCTTTATTTTTTTAATTAAATATATTTTAATGTAATGCTACGTCGTTTTGGCCGCGGGTGTACGATGCTCAAGATGGGCCACTCCCACGGTATACGGACTAAAACAAAGCTTCCGGATTTCAAGCGCATCACAACACCACCTGCGGTTTCACCCCGAAGTTAACGTTTTTGGCAGGTTTATAAACAAACAAATGATTATGAATACAATTATTCAATTGATTATTAATGATTCTTAAGTTTGTTTGAAAAAGGTTCAAGTATGTTTTCGGTCCCTGCAGATATAGTACATTATGTTTTGAATCCCTGCAATTTTTTTTTTGTTTTTCGTCCTTGCAATTTACGTTGATTTTTTTTAGTCCATCACCGATGATAACGACCTCCACTTGACTTCAAAATTACCCCGATTAATAGATTTCCTCTAATTCTTTGTCATGTTATTCAAAAAATATTTAGTTTTTTTGAAGATTTTTAATATATATTTTTAAAATGTGAATACTTAGTTTTACATTATTTTAACTCTCATATTAACCTCAAAAAAGTTATGAAAGGTCAAATTTAAATATTTCTAGTAGATTTATGTAACCGACAATAATTTTTTTGTAAGTAGAGTGATTTCGAAATTAGAGATGGGCCAAAAAGCAAATAGTGCATATTGCAGGGATGAAAACAAAACAAAACAAAAATTGCAGGGACCTAAAACTAAATGTGTCATATTTGCTAGAACTAAAAACATATTTAGCCCTTTGAAAAATAATAATTACTGAATGCATGCATTTTTCGATAATAGATTAATAGGGTTATACTGCGTATATAAAGTACATCATGCTTATGATTGTTCCACAAATTGAAATAACATTTTGCATATGTTTTTTTTTTCAAGAAAATATATTTTATTAAAAAAGCCAGAAAGAGTACTGTTGAGGTTTATTCCTTCAATCCTTGGACCCAACACGTAAGCCCAAAGATTTCGAGTGGAGTGAGTGGATATCTAGCCCAACAATTATCAGATGGGTCAGGAAAACAAAAGTAATAGCAGGCAATGTAAATAGGTATTATTAACTCCGTAATAACTCCCCTAAGTACAATCTACTTGCTAAAAAGGGCACGTCGGCCGTTCGTCTTGCGGGGCAGTCAGAAATACTGCAAGTAAGAATGCTGAAGCTAGTATGCTAAGAATAGAAAGTTGCCAACCCTTTACAATGAAATAAATGCTTCTATTTATACCCGCCAATGGGCAGGTGGCTGTACTGACGTGGCAGCCTGTGGACCGCTGGTGTCCCAACTACCAAATCTTTAGCATTAAATGCACTTCCCGCCAGAATCTAGGTTTCCCGCCGGATTAGTGGGGACGTTCGTCCACCCGGGAAGTGAGTTGGATTGCACCAAGTGACCCTTGAGGGATATTGGCTGTTCGTCTCCTGGCCTTGATAGATACTAACCATGTGCACTGGGTTTTCTCCGATGACTACAGGTTTGCTCTGGGGACGTTCGTCGCCATCCCTGGTGGCCCGTGGCTCTGCTCCTTGTCCCTGCATAGACGTTCGTCGGAATGAGCTGCTGGGCCTGAGTCCTCCAACACCAGACGTTCGTCCCTCCTTAAAGAACATGGGCCTGTGGGCTGGCCTAGTTTCTAGCTGGACGCTCGTCTGGCAAAATGGGTTAGTGGGCCGGACCTCGGCTTGGGCCCTTAACCCAACACAAGTCCCCCACTTCTGATGTTCTGAGCATGCGCAGGACATAAGGAAGTATGAACCTTCCCGAAGTGGACGTCCGTATCTTGGCACTTGGTGGAAACGTACGCTCGTGGCCATGGTGCTTGACAGCTGTTGACGGTTCAGGAAACGAGGTGACGGCTGATGTTGCGGCGGCGCATTTTCCCGAGGAAGTGTCATCATTACGTTCCCATCCCACGCACAGCGCGTGGGCTGGAATACGCTCCTTGCCACGTGTCAGCCCCTCGTTGGTTTCTCCTTCGGTGCTTCCCTTATAAATGGTGGGTTTGCCCTCTGAATTAGGGTTCCCAATTTCTGTTCTCTTGCTCTCGATTTTCCGCAGCTCTTCAAGTTTCCTGAATTCGGCCAACCATACCTTTGTAAGGTAATTTCCCCCCTCTGCTTCTTTCCTTTACTCTGATTTCTAGCCGGAATGACTTCGATGGAGATTTCCTCGAGTTCTGATTCCGATTCGTCGGGTTCCTCCTCGGGCTCCTCTTTTGAAAATGCTAATGCACGCTCCCTGGGAAAAACTAGTGTTTCCGGGACCTCTGGTTCGGCCACGACGGTGGGGACCATCCGGGCTGATGGCGAGCCGGATGATGTGTCTCAAGATAGTGGGAGCGACGCCAGGGGTGGGGATGCCGATGAGGCAGTGGACGTTATTGATGCGGTCCCCCTGAATGAGCGTCCCGCTGATTATGATTCCGGAGAGGAAGCCGAATCCGGTTCTGATATGGAGGTGTATGATCTGGGCATCCCCACGGATATGGAGCGCCACATCTGCCCGATTAGGAGCGCCCTTGACCACGACCAAGTCCTCTCCCGTGTGGCCCTCAATAAAATCCGCACCTTCCTTCCTCCGCCGTTCGTCTGGAGTGTGAGAGGCGCTGAGCATGTGATGAGGAGACGTCCGGGGATGATCATGCTCCACCTGGATTCTGTTGAAGCCGGGCTGCGGTTTCCACTTCATGCGTTTTATGTGGAGTTCTTCCACTGCTTCCAGGTGGCCCCGGCGCAATTCATGCCAAATTCTTACAGATTCATATCGGCCTTCTTGGTGCGCTGTAAACTCGCGGGGGTCGATGCCACTTTGGAGCTCTTCCACTATTTCTACCGCGTCACTCCTCAGAATGCCGACGGGTATCTGAGCGTGGCCGCACGTCCTGGGAAGCGGCTGTTCAAGAGCTACCCCTCGTCCATCCACGACTGGAAGAACCGCTTCTTCTTCCTTCGATACGACGGGCCTCCCCTCCCTCTCCGGTGGAACGGGTATCCCCCAAAGATTGAGTCGCCGGAGCCGACCGACGATCTGCTTTCGGATGCGGAGAAGGTGTCGGAGGGTGGCGTCCGTCCCATAGCCGGATTTCTGACCTTCGAGGCACTCTCTGGGGCAGGCATAGGTACCGCCCGTGTTCCTGGACTTTTTCTACCCTTCGACGCTCGTCTCGGGGCCCGGGCGGTCCTGTCCTTCGAGGTGAGTGTCTTATTCTACTTCCCGCTCGGCTTCTAATCCTTGTTGTTTCTTGCAGGTCCACCGCCCGATAGAGACCAAATGAATCACGCCGAGTGTCTGAAGACCAGGAAAGCCAAGGCGGCCGCGGCTAAAGCTGCGATGGCGAAAGCCAAGAACGCCCCTGCCTCGGAGTCCCACTCCTCGGCCTCTGATGCTGCCAGGCGAACCGCCGAGGGCGAGCAACATTTAATCGCCACTATGCTGGCCCAGGGTTCCGGGGGCCCTGCTCTCGAAGCCGCCCTTCCGCCGCCGGTCGTCCCAACGAAGACGGCTCCTCAGAAGGGGACTGAGAAGGTCCCTGAGAAGAAGCAGAAGAGGGGCCGTGAGGCAGCCTCCTCCGGGCCTCTGCTCGAAGACGCCGGCTCTCTGCCACTAAGCCGGCCGGCGGAAGACCTCTGGAGGGAGATGGCCCTCAGTGCCGGTCTTGAGTTGCCCCGCCGTTCGTCGTCTGAGGCGACCAGTGCTGCCCTGGCCGCCGCTCTTCAGGTATTCCTTCTTTACCAGATCTGAACACACCTTTCCCTTGACGTTCATCCTCTAATATTTTTCCCCTCTGTCATCCAGTCGGGGCTTCTAGTCCTTCAGGCTGAAGCTGCCAGGGAGGCCGATCTGAAGGAGGCCAAGGCTAAAGCTGATGCGGCCGTTGCTGCGGCACGGGAGGCCGCCCGTCGAGCTGATGCGGAGGCCGCAGCCAAGGGGAGGGAGATTGCCGCCCTGCAGGCTGAGTCTCATAGCCAGTTGGCCGCCCTTGAAAGAGCCGGTTTTAAGCTTGTCCCGGTGCTCCCTGCCGCCAAGGATGCCACTCCGGAGTGGTTGGTTGACACCTCCGGCTATCGGAACACTGGGGAGTTTATGGACTCCGCCAAGGACTACTGCGCCGGGGTCTTCGCCGATTTGTTCGCCGCAGCTCTGGAGAAGATTCCGCCCCGCCAGCGCCTGGCCCGCGGCGTCCGGATCCTTGAGGGCTCTCCCCTGTCTCGCAAGTTCCTATATGAGGTCGGCGACAGCACCTTCGCCGCCGGCTACAATGAAGGGGTAAAGGCCACCCTACCCACGTTCGCCAAGCTGCTGGGGCCCGATTTTGACTTGGCGGCCAACACGGATGACGATCTCCTAATCCGGGCGCTAGGGAAACTGAGGAGGGATCAGCGCCGGGAGGAGGCCAAGGCCAGGGGGGAGATTCCAGAGCCGCCGACCCCCGAGCCTGAGGAAGAGGAGGAGGAGCCGAACAAGGGCAGCAGCCGCCCAGGGTCCCCTTTCTTTGTATAATGTCATTTACATTTTTCCATTCCAGCTATTTGTAATGTCCGGCCGTAAGTGCCGAAGAATACAGATGTCTTTTTGCCCATAATTGTTCTATGTTCATGATTTCTGCCTTGTTATTTTCATTCCCTTTGTCCTTCGTTGTATGGAAAATCCTTTCGGCGGCCCGACACGCCTTGTAGCAAGGTCAGCGTCCGAGAGGACGTTCGTATCTGACCTCTACTTGTTTCCAGGCAAAAAATGTCCCGAAGTCGAACCTCCGTACGTACTCAACATGTTCTGACAATGGAGCGACGCTCGTCAGCGGTTTATGGTGTACGCTCGAAGTGTAGACATAGGAACGTATTTCTCAGCACCAGCACTTGATAACGATGTCCGTCCGTCGTCGTGTGATATGAACATTCAAAGCGCGGGACGTTCGTCTGTTCTGCGTGTTCATCTGTCATGAAGTGTGGAAAGGCGACGTTCATCCTCCGTGCACCGCTAATGGACGTGATTCTTCCTCCATCCTTTTTGTGTCCATTGTTTGTAGTATAAGGAGCCATTCCGGCGCCTCGACACATCTTTACCGCCCACGCGGTATCTTTGACAATGGGAAGACGTTCGTCGGTAGCTGCCTTGTCAGTATGCGTCTCGAGTATGGACGTACGGGTGTATTTCACTGAAACAGCGCTTGGTGACGACGCTCGTCTACCGTTGCGTGACGTGAAACTGGAGTACCGCAAGACGGACGTAGCCGGTTGATGCGTGTGCCCTCATCAGCCGTCAACGCTAGGGTCAGCCGGGGGATTACGGAAACAATGGAAGGCGAATGTCTCCAAATTCCTCGGAGCCGGTGAGCCCTCCTCAAGGGACGTCCGTGGCACGGACCCGGATGTCTTGTGATGGTTATGCGGCGACAAAATCGAGACGCCTTAAATACCGTGGTAGGTAGCGGTACCCAGGTGCCACGTGTCCCGCTTCGGTTGGGGCAATTCTGCGGTGTTGCCTATAAATACCCAGGGCCCAAGCGATCCACTCACATTTCTCCTTACGCTGCCCAATTGTTTTCTCTCTCTAGATTTCTCAAATACCAAGATCGGAAATCTCGAACCCCAAAGGTACCGTTCGTTGACATGTCTTCCGAGAGTCGCCTTGACGATGGATGTTCTTCCGGTGATGACCTGGAGTATTATGAGCGGGGAATGCCACCCCGGCCTCCCCGTTACAGCCTTAACTTCTCATGCGTCCGGCGTCAAGTTCAACGCCTGACGAACGCTGACAAGCGGCTGATCAGCCAATGGTTTTATCCCCCAAGGACCTACGACGATCGGCGTCTACGAAACCCCATGCGCCACCTGCCCGGCTATGTGGTGGTCCACCTAGATTCGGTGATAGCCGGGCTGAACTTCCCCCTGCACAGCTTCCACTTGGAACTTTTCAGGGCCCTTGAGATTGTTCCTGCGCAGCTCGTCCCCGCCGCTTATCGGATAATCGCTGGCTTCATCATTAGATGCCACAGCGTCGGTGTGACCCCCACCGCGGACCTGCTGCACCACTTCTTTCGTCTGTCCACCTTCGGACGTATAGGGTATTTGACCCTGACTGCCCGTCCGTCCATGGTTCTGTTCTCGAACAATGCTGGGAACCCAGACGGTTGGGAAGAGCGCTTCTTCCTGGCCGGAGTAGGCTCACCGATGCCATTCTCTGATCGGTGGAATGCCTACCCTGTGAAGACGATCCCGCCGCCCATGACGGACGAGGAGCTTGGGTATGCCAAGCGCATAGCCGGACTTGGCATCCAGAACCTCCGGTTGCTGGTGGCCGAGCCCTTCAAAGCTCAGGCTGGATTAGGTGCGTCCGTTTGTACCTGTATTGTTTTAACCTCTCTTCGCTGTTATGGTTCTGAACGTCTTGATCCCCTCTATGCAGGAGTTTTCCCAACCACGTCCATCATGCGCCGAGATAATACCGCTCCGTCTGCCGCCGGTCGTGGGCACAAGGGGCATGACAAGCCCGGGAAGCCGCTCGTCCCCAAGGTTGAGACTCGGGTGATCAGGGCCCGGACTGAGGATGATTTGGGCGCCGGCGTCTCCAAGAGGCCGCGCGTCGAGGGTACAGCCTCCAAGGCCATCATAGTAGCCGACGACTCTGACGGTGAGCCCGGGAGCCCCCTTAAGCGGAAGCCTGTCTCTCGGGGCAAGTCCCGTCCTTCTCCCCCACGAACTTCTGACGTTCGTCGTCTCCGGGATGATGATGCCCAGGTCGCTAAGGGTTTTGACGATGCTCGTCCTCCTTCGCCCCCACAAGCCAATGGGTCCTCCCTTGGTTTGATTGAGTTCTCCGGGGTTGGTCCACGTAAGGAGTCAATGATGCTCTTCGGTCAAACAGCATCCTCTATATGGTGCGGCCTGAATCTCAAGGTCCCCCAGGACTTCGCTGCTCAGGAGGCACCCGAGGACCTTCTGGAGTGTGGTCAGAGCACTTTGGATAAAGCCGGGCTCTACTTCCACAGGGCCCGGATGGCCTTCGAGCATCAAGGCAGGGAAATGGCCAGGGTCCGGGCCGAAAGCGACGCCCTTCTGAGGAATGCAAAAGGCAGGGCCGGCACTCTTCAAGAGAAAGCCGATGCCTACGATAAGCTCGTCCAGGAGAATGCCTCTCAGAAGGAGCTCCTCAAGAAGCAGGAGGCCGAGCTCGTGGATCTTCGCAGCCGGATGTGGGCCGTGGAGCAGGCCAAGGTGGAACTCCGCCAGACGGGCGTGGACAACCATGTCCCTATTTATGAGGCCGATGTTGCCAAGATCAAGGAGTCTGGTTCCATTGCCTTTCAGAAATCCAAGGCTTATACTGGCGCCATCCACACCATGGCTATGAAGTTCCTCCCGCGGCTCGTTGGCGAGTTCCTGGCCACCTGCCCGGATGCCTACCAGGATGGGGTTAAATTGCTCCAGGCCACCCCCACCGGACGTCGTTTCCTTGACGATCTCGCCGATGACACCTACCGCAAAGGTATGGTTGGGCTAGTAGTGGAGAATCTCCCGACGTTCGAGCGTCACTTTGGGGCTCCCTTCGATCCGGAGGCGGCTGGTTTTGACGTCTTGATGGCAGACGCTCATGCGGGGGCCCTCGAGCTGCTGAAGGAGCAGGCGGAAGCCAGAGCCAGTGAAGAGTGCAAGCAGGCTCTTTCTAAAGTTCCAGCTCCGGACGTCGATCGACAGTGATTCTCTGTTCATGATTTTGTACTTGTACAATTTTTCCCACTATTTCCATTGTCTTGTACTTTCCCGGCCAATAGTGCCGAAGAATAAAAAAGAGTCATTCTTTGCTCCTTGCTCTTCAGGCATTTCTTTTTTTTTTTTTTCTTTTTTTTTTTTTTTTTTTTTTTTTTTTTCGGAGTCTTTTAATCTTCGTTCGTCCTTGGTCCCTGGTCCCACCGGCGTCCCTACTTCGAGGAGACGTTCGGTGTCCGCCGACATCACAAGGATGAACAGGTTTATCTACATCGAGATTCCCCCCTTATTTCGTTCGTCCATGGTCCTTTTAGCCTTACCGACGTTTCTTGCTTCGAAGAGGACGTTCGGTACCCAAGGGCTCGCAGGGACGAACAGGTCTACCCTCACGGGTCCCCGATTTTGTTACCCCACGTCCATCGATCCATGGTCGTTTGTGGGATAAACAGGTTTATCTTGGCAGGCTCCCTTGGTTCGTCTAGCCCCCTCCGCGTCTCTACTAACCTCTACACCGAGAGGCGTTCGTCTTCGGCGGTTGGGGAAGATCTGGCACACCCGGGCAAGATTCCCTTCTACATAGGAGCTCCTCTCCTCTTCTCCCCACTTTTTTTTTTTTTTTTTTTTTTTTTTTTTTTTTTTTTTTGGCGGAGGCAATCCATATTCTTCGCTCGTCATTGGTCCCTGGTCCTACCGGCGTTCCTACCTCGAGGGGACGTCCGGTATCCGCCGACATCTCAATGAGGAGCAGGTTTATCTGCATCGAGATTCCCTGGTGCTTCGTTCATCCTTGGTCCCTGGTCCCACCGGCGTCCCTACTTCGTGGAGACGCTCGGTGTCCGCCGACATCGCAAGGATGAACAGGTTTATCTACATCGAGATTCCCTGGTGCTTCGTTCATCCTTGGTCCCTGGTCCCACCGGCGTTCCTACTTCGAGGAGACGTTCGGTAACCGTAGACATCACAAGGAGGAACAGGTTTATCTGCATCGAGATTCCCTTCTTTATCGGTCGTTGGTGAGAGCAGAATTTCAGAAAAAACAGGGGCCTTATTATTGACGACGTCCGGCCATTTTACATGGTAGTGGGAATAATACAAGGACAACAGCCCCTAACTATTGATAGAACTTTCTCAAGTGCTCTACGTTCCACATCCCGGCATGGTTCCCCTCCATGGTGTGGAGGAGGAATGTCCCCTGGTTATATCTTCTGATGACCCGGTAAGGTCCTTCCCAGTTCTTCGCCATTTTGCCGCCTTCGAGCGGCTTGCTCTTCTCTCTTTTCCTGAGTACGAGGTCCCCGGCCTCTATTTCGCGGAATTTCACGGCCTTGTTGAAGTATCTCTGGGTGGCCCTGTGATACTCTTCCATGCGACGAGCCGCTAGGTCCCTCCGTTCCTCGATGAAATGGAGCTCTGCTCGTAGGTTGATCTCGTTGTCCTCCGGCTGGAAGTGCTTGGTGCGATGGGTAGGCACCAGTACCTCCGTCGGTACTTTAGCTTGGAATCCGTAAGCCAAGGCGAAAGGGGTTTCCCCAGTCGTCGTTCTTGGCGTCGTCCTATATGTCCACAAGACATAATTCAGCTGCTCCGGCC